TGGCCACAGCAATAAGGCAAGAAAAAGAAATAGAAGGCATCCGAATTGGAAAGGAAGAAGTAAAACTGTCACTATTTGTAGATAACATAATACTATGTATAGAAAACCCTAAAGACTCCACCAAAAAACTGTTAGAACTAATAAATGAATTTGGTAAAGTTGCAGGGTGCAAAACCAATATGCAAAAATCTGTTGCATTTCTATACACTAACAACAAACTATCAAAAAGAGAAATTAAGAAAACAATCCCATTTACAATTACATGAAAAAGAATAAAATACCTCAGAATAAATTTAACCAAGGAGGTAAAAGACCTGTACAGTGAAAATTACAAGACATTGATAAAAGAAACTGAGGACAACACAAATAAATGGAAAGATATTCTGTGCTCGTAGACTGGAAGAATTAATATTGCTAAAATGTCCATATTACCCAAAGCAGTCTACAGATTCAATGCAATCTCTGTCAAAATTCCAATGGCATTTTTCACAGAAATAGTACAATAATCCTAAAATCTGTGTGGAACCACCAAAGACCTCAAATAGCCAAAGCAATCTTGAGAAAGAGCAGAGCTGGAGGCATCAAGCTCCCTAATTTTAATCTATATTACAAAGCTACAGTAATAAAAACAGTATGGTATTGGCAGAAAAAGACACACAGATCAATGGAACAGAATAGCGAGCCCAGAAATAAATCTACACATATATGGTCAATTAATCTATGAAAATTTTTGGAGGTGAGAATATACAATGGGGAAAGGACAATCTCTTCAATAAATGGTGTGGGGAAAATTTGACAGCCACATGCAAAACAATGAAACTAGACTACTGTTTTACACCATACACAAAAATTAACTCAAAGAATTAAAGACCTCAATGTAGGACCTGAAACCATAAATCTCCTAGAAGAAAACACAGGCAATAAGCTCCTTGACATTGGACTTGGCAATGATTTTTTTGGATCTGACTCCAAAAGCAAACGCAACAAAAGCAAAAATAAACAAGTGGGACTACATCAAACTAAAAAGTTTCTGCACAGCAAAGGAAATTATCAACAAAATGAAAAGGCAACCTACTGAATGGGAGAAAACATTTGCAAATCATATATTTGATAACAGATTAATATCCAAAATATATCAAGAACTCATATAACTCAACAGCCAAAAAACAATCTGATTAAAAGTGAGCAGAGGGCCGGCCCCGTGGCTTAGCAGTTAAGTGCGTGCGCTCCGCTGCTGGTGGCCTGGGTTCGGATCCCAGGTGTGCACTGACGCACCGCTTCTCTGGCCACGCTGAGGCTGAGTCCCACATACAGCAACTAGAAGGATGTGCAACTATGACATACAACTATCTACTGGGGATTTGGGGGAAAAAATAAATAATAAAATTATAAAAAAAAAAAAAAAAAAGTGAGCAGAGGACCCAAATGGACATTTTCCCAAAGAAGCCATACAGATGGCCAATAGGCACATGAAAAGATGCTCAACATCACTAATTATCAGGAAAATGAAATCAAAACCACAATGAGATATCACCTCCCACTTGTCAGAATGGCTATTATTAAAAAGACAAGAAATAACAAGTGTTGGTGAGGATGTGGAGAAAAGGGAACCCTCCTGCACTGTTAGTGGGAATGTAAACTGGTGCAGCCACAATGGAAAACAGTTTTGAGTTTCCTCAAAAAATTAAAAATAGAACTACCATATGATCTAGCAATTCCACTTCTGGGTATTTATCCAAAGAAAATGAAAACACTAATTTGAAAAGATACATGCACCCCCTTGTTCATGGCAGTATTTACAACAGCCAAGATATGGAAACAACCTAAGCGCCCATGGATCCCATGGATGGATGGATGGATAAAGAAGATGTGGTATATATGCACAATGGACTATTACTCAGCCATAAAAATCTTGCTATTTACATGCATGAAGGACCTTTAGGGGCATTATGTTAAGTTATTTCACTCAGTCAGACAGAGAAAGACAAATACTGTATGATTTCACTTTTATGTGGAATCTGAAAAAACAAAACAAAAAAACAAACAGGGGCCAGCCCGGTGGCGTAGTGGTTAAGTGTGCACACTCCTCTTCAGCAGCCCAGGGTTCACAGGTTCGGATCCTGGGTGCGCACCGACGCACTGCTTATCAGGCCATGCTGTGGCGGCATCCCACATAAAGCAGAGGAAGATGGGCACGGATGTTAGCTCAGGGCTAATCTTCCTCACAAAAAAACAAAACAAAACAAAACAAACAAAGCAAAACAAAATACCAAGCTCACAGAAAGAGAAAACAGATTGACGATTCATAGAGGCAGGTGTGGGGAGGTGGGCGAAATGGGTGAAGGGAGTCAAAAGGTACAAACTTTCAGTTATAAGATAAACACATCCTGGGGATGTAATGTACAGCATGGCGACTGTAGTTAATAATACTGTACTGCATATTTGAAAGTTGATAAGATGGTAGATCTTAAAAGTTCTCATCATAGGAAAAAAAAATTTTGTAACTATGTATGGTGATGGATGGTAACTAGATTTATTGTGGTGGTCATTTCGCAGTGTATACAAATATAGAATCATTATGTTGCATACCTGAAACTAATATAAAGTTATATGTGAATTATATCTCAATTTAAAAAAAGGCTCCCATTTTCCAAATTTGGCACAATTGAGTATCAAAAACAACCCCCCCCAAACTAGAATTAATGGACTAACAATGAATTTTTAAAAATTCTATAAGTCCTTAGTGTTACATACACATAAAAATGGGGTGGGAGGCGGGACAACTATTCTTTACAAAAGAATGCAATTAATCGTTTAGAAGATATGGCTGGCCCCATGGTGTAGCGGTTAAGTTCACGCGCTCTGCTGCTGGCGGCCTGGGTTCGGATCCCAGGCGCGCACCAAGGCATCGCTTGTCAGGCCATGCTATGGCGGCGTCCCATATAAAGTGGAGGAAGACAGACACAGATGTTAGCCCAGGGCCAGTCTTCCTCAGCAAAAAGAGGAGGATTGGCATGGATGTTAGCTCAGGGTTGATCTTTCTTACCAAAAAAAAAAACAAAGAATAAGAAGAAGAAGATATGGCTGAACTAGAAAATCACCATTTGGGGCCGGCCCCGTGGCTTAGTGGTTAAGTTTGCGCGCTCTGCTTCTGGTGGCCTGGGTTCGGATCCCGGGCGCGCACCAACGCACCGCTTGTCCGGCCATGCTGTGGTGGCGTCCTACATACAGCAACTAGCAGGATGTGCAACTACAATATACAACTATCTACTGGGGCTTTGGGGAGAAAAAGGGAAAAAAAGGAGGAGGATTGGCAATGGATGTTAGCTCAGAGCTGGTCTTCCTCAGCAAAAAGAGGAGGATTGGCATGGATATTAGCTCAGGGCTGATCTTCCTCAAAAAAAAAAAAAAAAAAAAAGAAAATCACCATTTTGCAACCAGCAATGTAATAAAGTAAGGATGGTCAATGGATACTGAAAACCTTAAATAAAGGGTTATCAGAGAATACAATAATCACGTGGCCTCTAAGTATCAATCCACAGATTACTTACTAATTACAAAGGAAAAAAATGCACCTTTAAAATAGAGAGATTTGGTAGACAACACCTTAACCAAACTGAACATCACCCTTAATGAGACTAATTGACATTATGTGTCTTCTGAGGAAATGCGATGGAAAGTACACATCTATAAAGTATTCTTGGCAAAAATGTTTAATCTGAATCTAATCATGAGGAAACAATCAGGCAAATCTAGATTGTGGGTCATTCTCAAAAAAACCTGGCCTGGATCTTTCAAAAAATGTCAATATCATGAAAGATTAAAAAAAAGAAAAAAGAAAAGGCTGGGGAACAGTTCTAGATTAAAAGGGACTAAAGACACAAGATAACCAAGTGGAACATGTGATTCCTCACTGGATCCTGGACTGGGGAGAAAAATATCTATAAAGGATATTTTGGGATAGTTGGGAAAATCTGAATATTTGACTATACATTAGTTGACATTATTGTCTAAACGTTAAATATTTGGAGTGAGAGAATGGTGTGCTTATGTAGGAGAAGGTTCATGTTCTGAGAACACATATGCAGAAACAGTTAGGGGTGAGATGTCATGATGCCTGCAACTAACTTTCAAGTGGTTCAGTGCAAAACCGAAGTGTGTGTGTGTGTAAAGAGATAAAACACAAGTGGCTAAATGATGATAACCTTTTTTACCTGATTCCAGGTAAAAAATATATAGGTGTTCAAGGTACTGTTCCTGCAACTTTTCTGCAGGTTTGAAATCTTAAAATGAAGCTGTTAGGGAGGAAGAAAGGAACGGGAATAACCAAAAAGTCCATCAATAAAGAACAGGTTCAGTAAGTTATGAGGCACAATAAAATTTGTCTACAATATCTACAAATAAAATTTGCAGATATTTAAAAAAAGAACAAGGAAGCTCTTTACATACTCATTTGGAACACTTATCAAGATATCCTTATAAGTAAAAAAAAGCGAAGTACAAAACAGTGTGTACAGTATGCTAGCATTTATATCAGAAAATGGAGGAAAAATACTTTTATACTGGCTTTATATGCAAACAAAGGAAAATAAACCCCTGAAAGGATGAACTAGAAACAAATAACAGTGGCTGTGTGTTGGGGAGGTGTAGGAACCGTGTGAATGTGGTAGACAGGTGGGAGACTTCTGTCTGTATATATCTGGCTTTATGTATTTTAAAAATTTTTGATCCCTGACAAAGCTCTAAGGGACAGGAGCCAGGGGTCATGGAAAAGGATTAAATGAGAGACACGGGGGATAGGTATAAAAATGACATTTGGAAAATCTCTTCTTGAAGATGGCCTCTGTAAAGGAAGCAATGCCAAACAGCTCAGTGTTTTCGACAGGCTGGGATGTCTTTGTGGAAAGTGACTTGGCCATATTTAAAAATATACCTCACTACACTTAGGATAATATAGGCTCTTAAGTGCAAACAATCTCATCTGCTGGTTAGTCTCTCACCTGGACTAGGGCCTTCTAGGATTTCCTTTATCACCATCCATGGTTCTTCCAATATGGGAATCACAGTTGGTCTGTACACTGTAAGTCCTGTTCAGGAGGAATATAATGAGTTTTATCTGGGAGATAAACAGTTGTTCAAATTTTATTACCTGACTTCTTTTTATTCATAAGGACAGATCTCTATAGGAAAACAATAGTTCACGGACATGATCTAATGAATTAGGTCATTGTCCTTTTCAGACCCAGGATAAAAATTTCCTGATATCCTGGAGGATATGTGCATGGAGACCATGGGGGAGGCAGGGAATGGGCAAGGCACAGCATTGAGTGGTGGCCCTGTGAAGCTGTGCCTCATAGTTTTTATTGATTTTTCATTTGGGAAAAGGGAGTAGAACATAGCTATGTCTGTGCCCGAATGGGATGAGCACATTCATCTGTAGGCCCCATTCTTAGCAAAGTATTTTAGAAGCCCAACCCATTTTTAACAACCAAGGACAGAAAAGATACTCTGGTGGGTTTGCTGGGAGGAGGAGTGGGCATAGACGATGCTTACCCAGAGAAACCATGTTCCAGTAGTTCTGTAACGTCACAGTCTTGTACAATTCCTTCTGTACAGGACGCATTAGCTCCCAGTCCTCCTGGGTGATATCCACAGCCACATCTTTGAATGTCATTGATTCCTAAAACATCAAATATATCTTAACTTGGTTCAAGACAAGTAGGAAGGGGATAGTGATAACACCAGGTGCGTGTGTGGTGGTAGGAATCACAGAATCTTGAGCTTTCGTAGGACCCTAAAGGTTATTTAGTCAAGACCTTCACTCAATGTATGGATGAGCATACCTCAATGGCCCTCAAGGGAAGTATGAAAATAAAGTAGAATTTATCACTTTCAATTGCCACTAGTGCATACACTGGAGGCTCCATCTTAAAGAAGAAAGGGAGGTTTTAAACATAGATGACACAGAGTTGAATGGTTTTCCTTTTCAAGCTTTGCCTTAAGAATAAATTCAGTTATAATTTGAAATTTTAAGATATTTTTGTGTACTCTATGATGATAAGAGCACTTCCTTCCTTCCTTTTTAAAATAAAACTGGTACCCAAACCCATACTGTTGAACTGCTGTACTTTTAGATACATTTCACAACTGGTAAGGTTAGCATCCCTCTTGGCTCTTCTTCCTTTTGTTAAAAAAATATTCTTAATTACTCTTATGTGTTTTTCAAATAAGCTTTATAAGTTTCTTTAAAAAATTGTATTGGGAGTTTGAAATCACATTAAGTTTACAATCTAGGGAGAACTGACAGTTTTATAATATTCAAGGCTTCTTTCATGTCCTACAGAATGATACAGGGCATGAAGGTACTACAAAATTTATACTATGTATACCAGGCTAACAAGTCTCATAAATTTTGGGGGGGTCATATTCTGAATGGAATCTTTTATTTCATTTTATCATCTATCTGATTTTTATGTATACATAAGGAAGTGATTAATTTTTGTAAGCCATTTTCTGTAGCAGTCACTTTAGTCAAATTTTCTGTTATTGTTTCTAACAGTTTTTCCCTTGATTTTCTTAGGTTTTTCAGGTAAACATTCATATTATCTATAAATAATAATTTCACTCTGGTTATTAATTTCAGACCATGTATATTTTTACAGTGAACCTTTCTCTTAAGGTGGCCTGAGTTGCTATTCCTTAAAGTAACACAGACTCATGATCAACAGTGACACCACATAATACATGGCCTTTAATTATTTGTTAATGAGGAAAAATAATATTAGTAACTATTGTTTATCTTACTGTGAGCTTATTGATCACTTACTATAATCCAGGCTAACAAATCTCATAATATTTAATCCTCATAATCTAAGAGGAATATTCTATTTACTAGAGTTGAATAACTCAGGCTAGCAGCAGTTAAATATCTTGCCCCAAATCACAGGTTCAATGGCAGAATCAGGAAGCAAACCTAGATCCATCTGGCTGTGGAGGTTGATTCCTTAACCTCTATGAGATATTGCTGCCTTAAAGTCAAAAAGTGAGGAAAGGCATATTAAGGGAAGGCAATGGATCCCATTTCCCATACAGGGCATTCACCTACCTTAACGGGCAGGGTGAGTTAAGGAGAAAAACTGAGGCTTAGGTCCTTGATGGGACCTTTGGGGTCACAGAAGTTAAGAGAGCCAGGATAGAAAATGTCCTCACACACCAAGAAGGCATTTTAAAATCACAGAAGAAACTAAAACTCACTTTGGCCACCAAGTTATTTAGCCATCCTGCCTGGAAAGCATGTCTTCCTTTGGGGTAGTCTTCTGGGGTCTCCTGGGAAAGAGCTGAGTTCTGAGGAGCAGCTAGGGAAGAGAAAGATACCATGATGGAGATTCATCCTATATGAACAGCCTAGGGAACCCTTCACCAAACCGATGCCTCCATTTTCTTAGAGTTGTAAGTCAGAAGGAAACCAGAAACAGCACCCCTACTTCAAAGAATCAGAGGGAAGGGGTAATAACTTGTCCTAAAACATCATTTGTAGGCTTCAAAAACAAGTCTGCTCTGGGACTCTTAAGTATATGTACCAAATTCACAATTTTATACCAAATTCTTATTGATGTAAATTTTGTGAGTTATCTCTACTTAATAAGAAAATGTTCTCTGGACCCCTTTCTACCTATTTGGAAGTCTGTTACTATAAAATCAAATTCATAAGGCAAATGATTTATTGGCAGAATGGTTCAAACTTCTGCAGGTAAACTTCCTGAGGGCTCACACAGGGGTAATTTGGTTGTGTCTGGTCATTATTTTATGACACATCTCCTCTGGGTTTAGATAATGTGTCCGGTTCCAAGCAATCTGAAGAGGAACACCATGCAGCATGGGGCTCATGTTAAAGCCTGTTCTCACTCACTCACTTTCCTTCTCTCCAATTTCTTTAAAGTGCTGCTCTCTGATGTGCCCGTTGTCTTCTCTAACTACCCAGGTTTCCTCCCCTCTCTGCTCTATAATTCTCACCTTCCTCTTCTAGAATCTGAGTCAAATCCTCCACCAGAGTCACCACTTCTTCGCCGTTCTCTGGGTATTGGGACTTCACCCAAGTCCTAATCTCCCCAGGCAGGATGGTCAGGAATTGTTCCAGCACCAGCAGCTCCAGGATTTGTTCCTTTGAGTGAATCTCAGGTCTCAGCCACTTAAGGCAGAGCTCTCGGAGTTGATTCAATGCCTTTCGAGGACCAGCCAGGTCTGGGTATGGGAAATTCCTAAAATTCTGTCGGCAGGTCTCAGTGTCACGCAAGAGTCTTGAAGCAAGGGTTTCCTTTTCAACATTGTGGGGTCCACACTGAGCCTTGTCTGGCTTCCACATCAGAAGGATTTGGGAGCGTGAAGAATTGGTCATCCTCTTGCTTGAGGCTAACATGGCTACAGACAGGAGAGTCAATCTGGCAATATCCTTTGTTTCTCCAGTAGAGAGCCAACTGCTTGAAGTCTCATGCTAGAGCCACAAAGACATTATATCAAGGGCTGCTGCAGCCAGGGGCAGAACAGAGTCAAGGTAGAGTTAGCCACCTTAGTTGCAAATTTGGAGCCCAGAACTTGCAGGGATGGTTAAGAGACCCTGAAACACAAGAACAGACCATAAGCTCAAGAATTCCCGGTGCTCTCTGCTATACACGTACACAAACAGAAACAGACTACCCAGTGTGCACAGATAAACACATACAGACTTTTACCTTGGTCTCCCTCTCTTATACCCTTAGACTTGTAACATAAATGCAATTTGCTGGGGGAGGGGGTTGGGACTGCCATAAAAAGGTGGTGATAGAAGCAAAGACTTGAATCATGAGCAAAATGACAGATCAAACTTCTAACTTGAAACAGAAATTAAACATTTTTTACAGAAAAAAATGCTTCAGTCATTGATGATACAGAAGCTGTAATGACTAATTAGCTCTCAATACAACAGAACAAATCTATTAGAACAAACTATGAGGAGAATTTCTTCTCAACAAAGTGCTAAAGGTTCCCAAGGGAACTGTCTGGAAAAAAGGGAGAGCCATTTACTCGCTTTGCATATTAATGCCAGCCTATTCTAGCTTTTCACTGTCTGCGGGCTGGGGAGACAAGCCGGTTGGACTGGAAAGAAGTAGAACAGATTGGTGTGATTTAAAGCCCATTAAGTGCTTCTACAGGAGACAGTTACTTAGGAATAAATTTGAAACCAGGATCCCGAAGAAAACCTCAGACTAGGCCTGACCTGGAGAAGAACCGAAAACACCTGTCCACGGGCTCCAAATCTGAGCCCTTCTCAACCACAGCCGTGTCACCCAAGCCTGTTTACACGGCCCTGCAGAACAGATGCGCCGGCCTCGCCTCGCCTTCTGTCACCTTCTCTCCCCAGGGGGTCTCCCTATCTCCTCTTTACCCGGAGGGTCGCAGGCAGCAGGGAAGTCAGGACCTGGCGATGCGCTGCGCTGGGACTGGGCCCCACAGCAGCATGCATACCGTGTTTGCCTCCGCGCACCCGCGAGAAGGGCGCCCACGCGTGGACGGGCTGGGGCTCTTGGCCCTGACCGCGCGGACACTCGCTTCCGGCGCCCGCGACATCATTACCTGCCGCTGGGACCCGGCGGACCCGCAGCCGGAGCGGCCCGAGAGGCCCCGGGCAACAATGGCGGCGGGGGCGCGGGCGCCTGCGTGGCGGGCTCAGTCCCGCGCTGCACAGGGGCCTCTGGTTCCGCCACTTCCCTTCCCCGGAAAGCACAAAGTGTGTCGGCCAGGAGCCCCACGTCCCAGCCCGGTCCTGCCTGAGAAACCCGGCCTGGACGCCACCGCGCCTCGCGTTCGCCGCGACCTCGCCTCGGCGCCACTGCGCATGTGCACAAAAAGAACGCTGCGCGCCCGCTGAGCCAATCGGAAGCGGTGTCTCGGTCCTCCCCCGCCCGAGCCTTGGTCCTTGGACCTGTCTCCATGGCAACCTCCTCCACCCATCACTATGACTTGCTCGTTAGCCTGAAAGGTTCTGAAGGGAAATTTAAAGTTTCATTGGGCAGAGGCAGGTCTGCTAGACGACTTAGAGGTCGGGGAGCTACTAGCATCTGGGGGATGGGGATGTGGAGGTTGAAGCCCCGTGCTAATTAACCAGAGAAAACCTAGTGTCAGAGTTCCTGGAGGAAGAATGGGCACGGAAGATGTGGGGTCTAATGGCAGAAAGACCCAAAGTGCTGGTTCCTACTTTGTGTATAAACATTCTCTGTTAAAGGTTCTGAGCCCCTCAGAATCTGATTCTGAGACTCTCAGATTGGAAAAAACCCAACATCCAACAGTAGGTTGTTTATAAGAGACATAAAACAAAGATACATAAAACATTTGAAAATGGGCCGGCCCTTGGCTTAGCGGTTAAGTGCGCGCGCTCTGCTACTGGCAGCCTGGGTTCGGATCCCGGGCGCGCACCGACGCACTGCTTCTCTGGCCATGCTGAGGCCACGTCTCACATACAGCAACTGGAAGGATGTGCAACTACGACATACAACTATCTACTGGGGCTTTGGGGAGAAAAAAAAAAGGAGGAGGATTGGCAATAGATGTTAGCTCAGAGCCGGTCCTCCTCAGCAAAAAGAGGAGGATTAGCACGGATGTTAGCTCAGGGCTGATCTTCCTCACACACACACACAAAATAAATAAAACATTTGAAAATGGGCCGGCCCCGTGGCTTAGCGGTTAAGTGGACGTGCTCCGCTGCTGGTGGCCCGGTTCAGATCCCCGGCACTCACAGACGCACTGCTTCTCCGGCCATGCTGAGGCGGCGTCCCACATACAGCAACTAGAAGGATGTGCAGCTATGACATGCAACTATCTACTGGGGCTTTGGGAGGAAAAAAATAAATAAAATTATTAAAAAAAAAGTCAGTGCCTTTAAAAAAAACATTTGAAAATAAAAGGATAGAAAAACATATTCCAGGTGTTCCTGTTATCTACTGCTGTGTTGACAAACCACCCCAAAACTTAATGGTTTTAAAGAACAACCATTTTATTACGCTCATGGACTCTGTGGGTCAGGAACTTGGAAGGGGAACAGTGGGCATGGCTCTTCTCTGCTCCAGTGTGTCTGGAGCCTCAGCTGAGAGGGATTGATGGCAGAGTGGGTCCACTTCCAAGATGGCTTCTTCACTCACGTGTCTCGTATGTGGGCTGAGAAGGCTTAAGGATGAGCTCAGCTTGGATTTGACCCGAGTGCCTACATGTGGCCTTTTCAGCATGAAGGACTTGGGATGGTTGGACTTCCTACATTACAGCTCCAAGCTTCAAGAACAGGTGTTCTAGTGAACAAGGGAGAAGCTCCATGGCTGATTATGACATAGCTTTGGAAGTCACATAGCATCATTTCCGCCATACCCTTGGTCAAAGCAGTCACAAGTCTGTGCAGAATCAAGTGGAGGCAAACAGAGATCCTGTCTCTTGAGGGGAGGAGTGTCAGAGAGTCTTACTATTCCCACATCAGGTAAATTTGAACAAAAAGAAAGTTGAGTAGTATGTTGGTCTTTGATAATGTCAACTTAGCTAGGCTGCAGGCTCCTGCCACTCAAGGAAACACTAATCTAGGCCTTATTCAATCATTTGAAAGGCTTTGAAAGCAGAATTGAGGCTTCCCTGATGAAGAAGAAACTGTGGACAAAGCTTCCAGCCTGCCTTTCCTGAAAGACTGCCCTACGGATTTTGATCTTGCCTAGTTGGCCTCCACAACTGAGTAAGCCAATTCCTTGTGGAAAATCTCCCAATGTATATGTCCTGCTGATTCTGCTTCTCTGGCTGAACTCTGACTGGTACAAGTACTAATCCTAATAACTGACAAAAAGGAATTTTAAAAGATCACAAGGGAATAAATAAGCATGGTATCCACTTATAAAAAGAAAAATTGACAGAGGAGATATATCTACATAAATATATGTCCGTAACAATAAGTCCTCAAAAGATACTGAGCAATAACTGATATAACTGCAGGGAGCAAAATATGAATTAACAACTGAAGCTGGAAACTTTAATACACTCTCTAGAGCACACTGTGCAGGGCTGCTAGGATCCCCCTTTAGGGCTGGGGTACCTGGGTACCTGTTCCCCCAGGTGCCAGTGTGTTTGGCTGTTGATGGCTCACAACTACATATCTCCATGGGAATTGTCCTGGCTGCAGGAAGCTGTCTCTTGCAGGTTTCATCTACTCCCCAGGGGCCATCCACATCCAGGGGTGCTCACTGCAGGGGTTCAAAGACCTGTCCCCTTGCTTCAACTTGCAACCTCTCTATAGGGTCATCCTGGCTTGAGTTCCCTGTAGGATCAAATGAGGCCTCTGTTGCAACCGTACACAGAATTTCAACATTTTCCTTGACCCAATCCCCCTTACATCACTCCTTTGTAGGTATTTTTCTAAAGAACAAGACCCTTGGGCCGGCCCTGTGGCTTGGTGGTTAAGTGCGCGCGCTGCGATGCTGGTGGCCCGGGTTCGGATCCCGGGTGCGCATCAAGGCACCGCTTCTCCGTTCATCCTGAGGCCGAGTCCCACATACAGCAACTAGAAGGATGTGCAGCTACGACATACAACTATCCACTGGGGCTTTGGGGGGAAAAAATAAAATAAATAAAATTTTAAAAAAAAAAAAAAAAAAGAACAAGACCCTGCATGCTGTTCTCCACCTCAGAATCTGTTTCTAGGGAATCTGTCCTACAACAGTTGGTAGCAGCAGTGGTCCTAGGAAAGCAGACTCTAAAATAGGATTTTCCTGCTAGATCACCAGTCAGTTTGCTGGCAATGAAGACCCTATCACTTGTGATTGGTGGAGTACTGATAGCACGTGTCAGGCTGCAGCAGCATAATCGTTAAAACTGTCACTGGTGTCGAACTGGGATAGGATGTTGATGGAAGGGAATGCACAGGTGGGTGCTATATATCAGGTATTTATGCGATTGAGGGAAGTGGCAATTTTAAGGACTATGGAATTGAATGGATATTAGTGGGGGCTGTCGACAAGGAAAGGCTGAGGGTGATTAATTACCAATTTAAGGGAAAGTGGGAAAATCAGAGGGCTTCTTGAAGTCTGATGGCAAAATGTACAAGTAGCATAACTTCAGATAAGGTTGAATTCTCAGCTCCATAAAGTTTGCTGTGCCAAGGTTAGGACCTTGTTTGGAAAGAAGTAGAACCCTGAGACTCAGGATGGGGATATTTGGATTGAAACAAGCAAACACCTTGAAACACCAATCCATCTAAATTCTCTGGGCCTGCAAAAGTGGCCCACTCCTCCCAGTCTTGCTTGGAGGTGATGCAGACAGAGGCTTCTACTTTGCAATAAAACCTGTGCCCCTCTCAGGATCTACTCTTCCCCCCGTCCTGACCACTAGACCAATTGCTAGGGTCAAGTAACCAAAAAACCCAACAGGGGCAATGCTGGGCCTGATAAAGGAGGAAGAGGACTGTCCCCTGAAGTTGCTGCAGGCCCTAACCGATCTGTATCTGCGGGAACCAGGAGACTGTATGGGTCTGGATCCTGAGGATGCTGCATCAAGGAGGGTGGATCATATAGTGAGCACTGGAGAGTTTATGGTCATTAATATGTGGTCAATTAATTTTCAACAAAGGAGCCAAGAATGTACAATGGGTAAAGGACTTCAGTAAACGGTGTTGGGAAAACTGGACAGCCACACGCAAAAGAATGAAACTGGACCACTATATTATACCATACACAAAACTTAACTGAAAATGGATTAAAGACTTGAACATAAGGCCTGAAACCATAAAACTCCTAGAAGAAAACATAGGCAATAAGCTCCTTGACATAGGTCTTTGCAATGATTTTTTGAATCTGACGCCAAAAGCAAAGGCAACAAAAACAAAAATAAACAAGTGGGACTACATCAAACTAAAAAGCTTCTGCACAGCAAAGGTAACCATCAACAAAATGAAAAGGCAATTTATGGAATGAGAGGAAATATTTGCAAACCACACATCTGATAAGCAATTAATATCCAAAATATACAGGGAACTCATACAACTCAACATCAGAAAAATAAATAACCCAATTAAAAAACAAGAAAAGAACCTGAATAGTCATTTTTCCAAAGAAGACATTCAAATGGCCAACATGAAAATGTGTTCGACATCACTAATCATCAAGGAAATGCAAATCAAAACCACAAGATATCACCTCACACCTGTTAGAATGGCTATTATAAAAAAGACAAGAGATAACTGTTGACGAGGCTGTGGAGAATGTAGAACACCTAGCACGCTGTTGGTGGGAATGTTAATTGGTGCAGCCACTGTGGAAAACAGTATGGAGATTTCTCAAAAAATTAAAAATAGAACTACCATATGATCCAGCAATTCCACTTCTGGGTGTTTATCCAAAGGAAAAAAACACTGACTCAAAAAGATGTGCACTCCCATATTCATGGCAGCGTTATTTACAATAGCCAAGATATGGAAGGAACCTAAGTTTCCATCGATGGATGTGTGGGTAAAAAGATGTGGTTAAATACACAAAATGGAATATTATTCAGCCATAAAAAAGAATGGAACCTTGTCATTTGCGACAGCATGGGTGGATGGACTTTGAGGGTGTTATGCTAAGTGAAATAAGTCGGACAGAGAAAGACAAATACTGTATGATCTCACTTATATGTGGAATCTAAAACACCCCACCAAAACTGAATTCATAGATACAGAGTAAAGATTGGTGATTGCCAGAGGCGGGGGATGGGGGATGGGGGGGGCGGGCAGAGGGTGAGGGAAATGAGTGAAGGTAGTCAAAAGGTACAAACTTCTAGTTTTAAGATAATAAGTCCTGGGATGTAATGTACAGCGTGGTGACTATAGC